ACTGTGGATTCAGTGATGTCAAGCAGAAATATTATAATACATTGTTTAAATACACATTTTTTTTTAAATTTAGAAACACTGTGCTGAGCAAGATCACACAAAACCATCCAGTGTACAACCCCAGTATAAGTTGTCAGATTGTTGCACAGGTGGACATCTCAGTATCCCATCTCCAGTATCCCAAAATGATTGACTGGGTGTGGTGGTGGATGTTTGGTTGGAGGGAGGGACCCTTAATTAGGGGAAGTGGAAGTTCTGGGGAGTGCAGGGTGGGCTACGCAGTTCAGGTGGTGCCGGGGAGGGGATGTTTTGACGGGAGTCAGAGGGCGGGCTGCTCTCAGGGAAGTCACACCCAGCGGTGTGTTCTGGCCCTCTGGACACACACAGCAGATCCATGGCGGCCCTGGCTTCCGGCTGCTTCTTCTTAACGCCAGGGCAGTTAACAACAAGGCCCCCCTTACATGTGGTCTGATCACTGAGGAGTGGGCCGACCTGGCGTGCATCACTGAGACCTGGCTGGGCCCTGAAGGGGGGCAGCCCCTTTTGGAAATGTGCCCGGCCGGGTTTATGGTATGGCACCAGCCGAGACCCCAGGGAAGGGGAGGAGGGGTAGCGGTTGTCATCTGGGGGTCTCTGCTGGCCTGCAGGGGGCTGCTCCACAAGTGGCAGTTGTGAGACCCTCCTTCTTAGGTTGGGCTCTCGAGAAGAGCTGGGGTGGTTGCTGCTGTTCCAGCCTCCCTGCTGCGTGGCAACCTCCCTGCCTGAGCTGCTGGAGCCATTGCGGGGCTGGCAGTGGAGTTCTCCAGACTCATGGTTCTGGGGAACTTCAACCTGCCTTTCCCGGGATGTACCTTGGAGGCGGCTTGGGAGTTCACGTCCACCATGGTGGCCGTGGGCCTTTCCCAGATCATTCGTGGCCCAACTCAAGACAGTGGCCTCACACTGGAGATGGTTTTCTTGTAAGAGCAGTGGCAATGTGATCTGAAAGGGGAATTATATCTGTCCCCCTTGTCATGGTCAGATCACGCCCTAGTGGCCTTGAGATTCTCCCATTCGATTGGTCCACCCCCAGCGACTGATGTGCCCAATGGGGTTCCAAAGGGAGCTGAGGGTTGGACCCAGGGATCTGCTGCATGGTCCAATGGAGGCCTTGGCCGCCACTTGGAATAGGGAGGCAGCTGAGGCTTTGGACAAGATGGCGCCCATGTGACCTCTCTTGGCCCATCGATCCCGGTACTTCTGGTGGTTTATGGAGGAGTTGAGGGGTCTGAAAAGGATTAAGAGACGTCTAGAGTGCTGCTGGAGGAAAAATGAGACTGAATCCGACCAAACACAGGCTAGAGCCGCTATTAAGGCCTACCTTGTGGTGGTAACAGCAGCAAAACATCAATATGTCTCCACTCTTATAGCATCCGCAGAATGCCACCCAATGGCCTGTTTAAGATCACCCATTCTCTTTTGGGGGAGGCGGGCTTAGTGACTCACCTGCAGGGCCATACAGAGTTTTCTGTGCATTTGGATACCAAGTGTGGGGCATGGTCTGTGGAGAAACCTGGGGAACATACTCACCCTGTTATCTGGGAACAATTTGACCCTGTTAGCCTAAGCCTGAGGAAGTGGACAGGATCCTCGACAGTAAATGCCACCGCTTGCCATCTTGACCCACCCATGCCCCTCCTGGCTGGTTAAGACAACTCGGGAGGTGACGTGTGGGTGGGTCCAGGTGATGGTGAATTCACCCTTGAGGGAGGGGGTGTTTCTGGCTGCCTTTAAAGAGGCGCTGGTGCACCCCCTCCTCAAGAAACCATCACTGTACCCCCACCGTGCTGGACAATTTTCATCCAGTCTCCCACCTCCCCATTTAAGGGAAGGTGGTTGAGAAAGTGGTGGCACTACAGCTCCAAAGGATCCTGGAGGAAACAGATGATTTTCAGTCGAGTTTCAGGCCCAGATATAGGATGGAAACAGCACTGGTGGCACTTCTGGATGATCTCTGGCGGGAGCAGGATGGGAGTAGCACATCCATCCTTGCTCTTCTTGACCTCTCAGCAGCTTTCGATACCATCGACCATGGTATCCTTTGGGGTGCTGCAGGGTTTGGTACTCTCCCCACTCCTTTTTAACATCTACATGAAACCATTGGGTGAGATCATCCGCCATCATGGGAGGAGGTTTCATCAATAGGCAGATGATACCCAGTTATACATCTCCGTCCCGGGTGATTTAAGTGATGCTATGGCGACCCTTTCACGGTGCCTGGAGGCTGTGGGGGCCTGGATGGGGAACAACAGGCTCCAGCTGAGCCCTGGTAAGACGGAGTGGCTGTGGGTTGGGGCTCCTCTGCATCCGGGAGTTTACCATCTTTGGTTCTGAATGGGGCGGCCCTGCCCCAGACAGACCTGGTGCAGAATCTGGGGATCCTCCTGGACTCACGACTCCTGCTCAAGGAGCAGGTGGCAGTCGTGGCCAGGAGGGCCTTTGCTCAACTGCATGTTGTGCACCAGTTATGCCCTTTCCTGGATTGGGAAGCCCTCCAGTTAGTCACTCATGCCCTAGTCATCTCTTGTATAGATTACTGCAATGTGCTGTACATGGGGCTAACCTTGAAAAGTATCCAGAAGCTTCAGCTGGTTCAAAATGCAGCCGCATGGGGAATCATAGGTGCCCCAAGGATGGCACATGTGAGCTGCACTGGGTCCCAGTTTGCTTCTGGGCCCAATTCAAGGAGTTGGTTATCACCTTTACAGCCCTACATGGCATGGAACCAGGTTACCTGAGGGACTGTCTCACCCCCATTACATCGACCCGTCCCACCTGGTCAGGCAGGGAAAGTATGCTACAGACCCTGTCAATTAGGGAGCGTCAACTGTTGGGGTCCAGGAAGAGGGCCTTCTCTGCCATTGCTCCTGACCTATGGAACACTCTCCCCCCAGAGGCGAGGTGGGCCCCCACTCTCCTGGCCTTCTGGAAAGGAGTGAAGACCTGACTCTGCCATCTTGTGTGGGACTTGAGGAGGGAAAATCAACCCCGGGGGTGGTTGGCACCCTGAAGATGCTCCCGTCGGTCAATAACTTATTATACACCACCAGTTCCTTGGATTATATTATTTATTTTTGAATGCTGTTTTTATTGTATTTTAAATGGTTTTTATTCTTATTGTTGTAAACTGCCCAGAGTTGCTCTTTGAGTGAGATGGGCAGTGACTAAATTTGAAATATAAATAAATTATAACAGATTATTCTACACAGATGACAGATGTTATGCTTTTCTAGAAAAGTGGGTGATTCTTACACACTTCCACAAATAATACAACTGTATTATTTCATTGCTTCTTATCCAGCAGTCATCAAAGATGAGGCCGCCATCATTGCTCATGAGAATTAGGACTTGGTTACCGATTGCTTTAGCCTTCCCTCCGTGACACCCTTTACGTGCGCAGAATTGTTAGCAACTCTTGTACTTGAACTCGTTAGGGGTTCTGGGAGTTGTAGTCCCAGCATATTTGCAGGACACCTGGCCAGGTGTTACACAGGCCAAATGGAAGCTCCTGAGAAATGAGCCCAGACAGTAATGACACCCTCTAAGATGACTTGGATCCCTCAAGTGTACTTGCAAGGAACCCGTCTCCCATCAGGAACCTCTGGAGAGAACTGGGGATACTCGAGGGCAACCGCAGCTCCCCCGCCACCCTGAGGAATGGGCAGTTTCACCTGCACTGAACTGATTTCCCCCCTTATTATTAGGGATGCTTCTTATCCTGCATCATCCTGATACTTTATGCATAATGAAAAACCACTGGAAACTAATTTCTTCTGCCTTGTTCTCTTCTCTTTGACTAAAAGCTAGAGCTGAGCAAAGTTAATCAGAGAGACTTAATTGGAGGGACTTCAGTAACAATGGCCATACTGCTGGCACGGCATTTGTGGCAGGAGAAAAGCTCCAAGTCCCTTCAAATCCAGGCGGCTGGTTCAGGGGTGTCCATGGAGGAAAGTGGGGGAATAAAAAAAAATCGCGATGGCATCCATTGCATGAGGTGCATTAAAAGTGGTGGCCAGGGCTTTAACTGCAGGGCTGCAGATGCCACCTTGACTTTTTTGACCCCCAACCCCACTGAACTGGTCTCCCCTTCTCCCTCCTCACCCCATTGCCAAAGCCAAGTTCAAGAAAAGGTGCAGAGCAAAAGTTTTTCCAAGGGCTGAGCGAATGGAGACTGATGCCCTTGGTTCCTTCTCTTGGAGGATGCCCTGATTCCTGCCAAAGTCCTCTGGATCTTGGGCAACCTCGTTTTCCAGGCTTCCAAGGCAAGAAAGGTGCAGCTGCTCTGAGGAGTGACTTAATTCACTGTAATGCTACTGTGATGAAAAGCAGAGAGGAGCTTTCTGAATCACGGTCAAAGTGTGCACAGCCCGTTGAGCATTTATTAGATTTATATGCCACCTTTTCTCTGGCTGCATGCAGAACATTCCCCCTCCAATTTTTCCACAACACCCCTGTGAGGTAGGCTGGCCCAAGAGAAGAGGAGTAGCCTGCAGTCACTCTATGGTTGGAGATGGAATTGAACTTGGGTCTTCTCCATTCTAGTCCAATACATTTAACTTCCACCCCATACTGCCTTTCCAATGTAGGAAGTATCTATTGATTAAGAATAATGTGCCATCAAGTTGTTGTTGACTCTTAGTGATCACAAATAGGTTTTCTGCATGATGATCCATCTCTAACCTGGTCCTTCAGGTCTTCCAACGGTTCTTTATTGCCACTGTAACGGAGTTCCTCTACGCTGCTGCTGGTCATCCTCTTCTTCTCTTTCCTTCCATCTTTCCCAGCATTAGAACCTTCTCCAGAGAGCTGGGTCTTTGCATAATATATCCAAAGTAGGATCATTTCAGCCTGGTAATCTGTGCCTCAAGTGAGAACTCTGCGTTGATTTGTTCAACGATCCGTTGGTTTGTTTTTTTGGTTGTCCACAGTATTCTCAGGAGTCTTCTCCAACACCAAAGTTCAAAAGCATCAATGCTCTTTCTATCCTGTTTCTTTAAAGTCCAACTTTCACTTCCATAGAGTGTCCCAGGGAATATTGTTGCCTGCACCATTTGGTTCTTTGTAGGTATACAGTAGACACCTCCCGGCATCTGAATTTCTTTTCCAAGGTCTTCGTGGCTGCTCTCCCAAGTGCTACTCTGCAGCATGTTTCTTGACTGCTTGTTCCTTTACTGCTGATGGTTGATCCTAAAAGGCAGAAGCTCTCCACCACTTTGATATCTTCGCTGTCAATTCTGAGGCTGGTTGCTGGTTGTCTTTATATTTAATCATGATCCCATTCTTTTCACTATGCGCCTTGACTTACTAGAGCTTGCAGATCCTTTCCATTAGAGAGAAAGAGGGGGAAAACACTGCATTTAATTCCCAAACCAAGCAGGTATGCAAGATGAGACTTATATGATCATCAGCAAAAATAATGACAGACTCTCCACATTTTATACATGACCTTGTACATCCATTTGAGGTCATTTTTGTATTATTTATAAAGGGCTAATGCAAGCTTGATGAAATGAGTAGATAGCTAATTATAAAGCATCATCAGATCCAAAATGTCTTTATTAATGGGGCTGTCACCGATTGCTGACACGTTCAGAACACATTCTTCACTTAAAACACGCTTAAAGAATCAATTTGGATTATCAATAGTTGATGTATGGCTGATAAATTAAAACAAGAGGCTCAAAAACACGCAAGGTTCTTCAGCAGTAAATGGCAGATTGCAGTTGTCGTGCTCTTTGCTCCAAAAAACTTAACGTAAGTAAATGAGGAACTTAATGTGATTTTTAAATTAAATTGAACAGAAATACGTTTTAAACCAGAGAGGTATATGCAGAGTGTTAGCAAAAAAGGAAACGAAAGAGCTGCTTCAGCCCAGCTGGCTGAAAGGAGAGAAATTTGTCTCACTTTTAGAAAAAGCACCCGCAGCCACCAGTCACATTGAGTCATTCATTGTACTGTTATCTGCCAGAGAGGCTGTGACATTGCAGCAATTAAGACAAACTTTCGTCTATAAGTTCGTGCCTGCAATCTCTATCCTTCACCTGGAGATTGATGATCCCTCCAAGGAAAGCAGCAAAGGCGTTTCTGGGCTGCCTCTGAAGCAACGGTTAGGAGTTGTAATTGTTCAGCAAAAGTTTCTCGCTACAAGAGGCCGGGTCCCTCCAATCCACCCGGATCCACTTCAGACCTCTAGTGACCGAGCACCGCAGGCACAGCCCGCTCAGTAAGCGATTTTGCTTCCTATCATGACACCCCAAGAGAGCAGGCTTCTGGAGAACTTCCTCAAGAAAAAAGAGCAGAGGAAATGCTTTTTAAGTGCATTAAAAAGAATAATAAAAATGCCATGCATGTAAAAGACTCAAAAATATAAAGCAAATTTGGAACAACAATGAAATACTAGTGATTAAAAACCCCCCCCAAATTCTTCAACTTTCAATATAGTCTTTTAATGTCATAATTATTTAGAAATGGGACCAGAATGGAGTAGGGCAGTCAACAAAGTAGTCATTGCCACAGATCCGCGTTTTAGAGTGCAAAGGAGAAGCCTTACTTTCTGCTGAAGGCTGAACTCCTTTTAGGTTGCGTGCCAGATGCTACCAGTTGTTGGTGGGCTAGATTACAGCAGGAATTTCCTTCTTCCTGTTTTCTGTCTCTTCTTTCTGGCAGAGGCCTGAATTGTTTGCAGAGCAAACTACTGAAGGGTTAGGACATCTGAGGATTGCAGAACACCCATCCCCATTTCTTTAGGAGTTGGCCTCCATTTGACACATGACTCCATTTGGTGATGTTCATGTGGAGACTTCATCACACTGATCAGTTAGATTCACATAAGATGCTAACCCCTCAACTAGGTAAGAACTTGCAATTGCTATCTTCCCATACGTTCTGCAGAAACAAATAAACTATATTATCCATGTATACCACCTAGAGTCTGGTAAATCAGGCAGCATATACATTGGTGTAATAAACAAATAATAAATAAACAAATAAATTAAAGACAGCTTAATGGGATGGCACGGTTCACACAGTTTGCTAAGTCAGTAGGCCACTTTGACAGCATGGATTCCCAGACCATCTTCAATCACAAACTGCCCAAGCTCAATTTAGCCTGGTGTTCTGCAAACCCAGCTATTGCAGCCTTCACTAGTGTTGGTTGCACAAACACACACATTTAATTGAACAAAGGAATGACAAGGCACATCAGCCTCAGGCAAAGTTTGTGCAGAGAGAGAGAAATCAGTGGCTTAAGCATATCTTAGGCTTGCTGAATAGGAACAAAGAAGCTCCCTATGAAAGTGTCCAACTCTGCTGTCAACCATGACCAGCAGCACCTCTTCTGCATTTTGGGCAAGAGTTCCCCTCAGAACGAACCTTAGACTTGTTCAGTATCAAGGAGTTGTTCTGCCACTCAAATGAATGGATTTAATGGATGGCTGTTGTGGACCTCCGTAGATGGACTGACTTCTGACTTGATGCAGCAGAGCAATTATTACGATGCTGCTTGTAAAATAATGATAACAAAAAGAACAACAAATGAAACCCAACTCAACTTTCCTTCCTTCCTCACGTTCTGTCAAAAGGTCCTGACGTCCTTGGTATCCTAGTTGTCCTGCACAAGGAGTGGGTATAGGGGATAGTGTAAGTGCACACTTGTCTGTTCCAAAAATAAATTTAGCACACACTCTGTGGCAGACACTGCTTACGCTTTTTTATTCTTTCATCTTTATCCATTTTCATTGGCTGGTCCATCATCTAATATTTCAATTTCAATTTCAAATCCAAAGCAGGCACAGGATTGATTGAGTCCACAGGTCTGCTACCTCCATTCTGCTCACGTACTTAGGTTAAGCTAGCAAAGACCCCAAAGTGTATAAAATACTTGGAGGCCAACATATATACATTCAGTTTAATAAAATATATGTTCATATTGTCTTAAGGATGCAGGAGGCAGTGAGACGGGTGGCAAAGGATATCTTTGTTGAACTTCTGAAGCAAAAGATCCTGCGTCTATCTGGATGGGCTCAACTGGTGAAACGAAATCCCCACCAACCTCTTCAGAGTCTGTTTGGCTTCAGTCTTGCTGGAGAGAGCGAGCATCTCTGAATCTCACTGGGATCCCTGTTGCTGCAAGCGCCTCTCCTCCAGCGTCCGGCACACCCACATGGAGACAACTTCGGCGTTCCCGTCATTGTACTGGACAATAAAGAGGTGGCCCTAAAAGGAAAAGTGGGTCTAGTCAAGAGGGTCAAATAGCTGAGGAATGAAGGAGATGCAAGATTCTTGCCGCCCTGCTAAAAATCCTTCCACGAGAAATCCCAACTGTGCGAACCACCCTTCTGCCAAAAGAAGGGTGGAGTTTTATCACTGAAATATGTAGCTCGTGTAAGGCTATGAATTTCTCTCTTGCTCTTTCTCTCTCTCTCTGTGTCTGTGTGTGAGAGAGAGAGCATTCTTTTTTAAGATCAAAAATATGGTGGCTTTCTTTTGAAGGCTCAATTTGAGAAGCCCACAGATACGTCACTGGAATTGAATAGGGCTTTTCTAGTAGCTGAAGGGAAGAAGTCAAACAGGTTTCCCACATGCCTATAAACATTCCGGTGTTTCTCTTTCTCCTTTCCTCAGTATTAATTTTGATACATTTCATATTTCATCCCCAGGTGACAAAGGCGTGACAAAATGTGGGATTTGCAGTTGCACAGATGACAGAGAGACAGAATGTGGGAGCCATGGAGAAGTTCCCTTTTCTCTCTTGTCTCCAGGATCACCTAAGGAGGCCACAGGAGATACTCCAGGGTTTTCGGTTACTACAGAGGGAGACATTTGGTTGAAAGGCAAAGAACAGGAACACAGATCTGAAAGCCCTTGCAGATGCTACCAGCTTCTGCGCTTTGTGCTGGGCTACATGAGACAGGCATGTAACGCACAAAGCCCTATTCTCAGAGGGCTGTGCAACGTGCTTGTTCTCTGAGGTCTCCCTCTACTCTTAGATTTGGGGTGAAGGGAAGGACAGAAGGGGGAACTGTGAAACAAGCTTGAAACGGGCAACTAACTCCTTTTAAAAGTCTTGAGTGATTGGTTCTGTTTCTTATCTCCAAAACACATCACTTCCTTCAAGACTATCAGCTTAACAACATGGCCCCAAACTCTTCAAGAAGCGATGGGAGTGTACTGAGCAAAAGACCGGCAAAAAGTAGATAGAGATAGAGGTGAGATGCACAGATGGTGTGGGGAGAGGGAGAGAGGAAAATGCTGGCAAGAAGCAGCTTTGAGATGTAATCACATTAGGAAGACGGAGATTTAGTTAATCTCCTCCTTGGACTTGAGGGAAGTGACATGCATCCTCCACCAGAGATAGAGAGCTTTGGACATGCTGGAGATGGCAACAACAGGTTTCTTGCTGCTTAGGCAAGGAAGGCCCTTCTATGTCTCTGCGTTTATTAATGTAATGTCTCCAACCCCGGCCCCCCCCTCCCCCGGATGGTATAAAGATCAGGAAGGGCTTTCAGGTTATTCCAAATTCACCCCATTTCTGCCACAGGGTAGGTGTGTCTTCAGATGCAGTCGCTGCTACCCGTGTGAGTCCAAATCCTTCCACCTCCCACAGCGCTGGGATCTCTTTCCTCCCCTGTCCCTCAATCCTGACAGGAGGAGGAATAGAGGAAAGGAAAGAATGCATATACCTTTGGTTTTCAGCATTATTTTTCTGATTGCCTAACGTGGTATTTGTCAGGGCCCGAACCAGACCCCCGTGCACCCCAGATATCCTTCTGGTCAAATCCCAGGCTTAGCCCTTCAGAACCCAGATTCCTTACTGTAATTACTCTTTACCAAATGCCACAAGGTTAAATTCACTTAACTGTTTGTAAAACTCATGGAGATCCCTGGAGGAACGGAAAAGATGTCCTCATTCACAGTCAAGGCCAGAATTACCTGTCTAGCCTTTTAAATAAGCCAGCCACAAACCCAACAAGGGTCAAGGAAGAGAGAAACAAATCAAGATGCTGAAGACAAAGAGAGTGAATTCACAGAGCTGGTAAAATCAGCCATTAAACAAAGTCTGCTGGTTTCCAGCATGAATTACTTTTCCAAGGGAAAGTGGGCCATTCATCTCTTGCCACCGCTGGCGACTGGACAGCTGTGCCAAAGTTCCAGATCCTCAGAAGGCGGCCAAGGGCAAACATGGAAGTGGCCTTCTTGAGGGTCCGATGGCTGGCAAGAGTTTCGGAAAAACATACTTAAAAAAATAAATATTCTCCACTATCTAGAGTGGATCTGACCCTATGCATGGCTGCTACTGACATTTTTGGTACCTTGGTACAGAATCTTTCCTTGGCATGGAGCCTCCTGAAAAGCTAATTAGCCACCTTATTCTGGAGAACTTTGGGGTGAACTGCAACGTCACGGTTGCTTTACGTGAATTTGATGTAACGATTTCAACTTCGATGGCTCATTGTCATATTTTGTAACTACTGCGAAGTGCCAAGAGTCATGAGATGTCGTGGTGGAGCAACCTAACAAACCAATAGGTATACAAACCCAGCAGCCGCTGCAGAAGAACGGCTGGGGAAAGAGCCCCTTGCCAAGCTGTCCGGCCCCAGCAGATGCAGGAGCAAGTTCTTTTCTCCCCAGACAAAAGGGCAGCTTGAGCACAAGGCGGCGGCAGCAGAGATGGCTGCCCTTCGATCATCTCAACGCCTCCCCCATCAGGGGTGGATTTTGCTGGGGCAAAAGCGCAGCAGGAAGACGCAGAGAGCTGGAGGGGCTGCAAGGAGGATCGAGGGCGGGGGCGGGGGTGCAAAAATGAGCCAGCGACATTGGAAACGGAGCTGGCAGCTCGTGCAGGTATAATGAAGTTCCAGGCAGTTAGAAAGAGACAGACCCCATTTGTTAACCCGACATTCTCATTTCTAAGGAAAGAAGAAACAAATAGAACACACAAGCATGGAAGGAAGTAATGAAAAACAAGAGAGAGAAAGAAAAAGGAGAATGAGGGTCTTTGTGCGCTTCGCCAGCTTCAGGGGGAGGGAGGCCCTTTATTCGTGAGGGATATTGGTCCAGACTGAAAAAGTCCACAGCTCTTAAATATCCTGGTAGGAACTCTCTTCATTTTACCGAGTAATGGTGCATAAATGTAAATGCACAGAAGTTTGAAATGCATTTTCTACCGCAGCGAATGCTCCAGAGGAGAGACTTTGTTCGTGAGGGATCTGGGCCGTCTGCTTCTGGAACTAGGTCTGGAGCTAATGTTCAGAAGTATCCCACAAGCTCTCCTATACAGAAGGGAGGGGCCAATGGTTAATCCAATGCTTCCCAACTGTGGCAACTTCCAGATGTATGGACTTCAACTCCCAGAATTCCCCAATCCAGCATGGCTGTTGCTAAGAATTCTGGGAACTGAAGGCCATACCTCTGGAGGCTACCAAGGTTGGGAAAGGCTGGGCTAATTGGTCAGAATATCTTGGCTCATAATCCATTCAGCACCTGTTGGCTTACAACCCAATTCCCTGGGCTCGCCCTCAACATTAGCACGAGGACACCCCTGTGTCTGAACAAGGCTGGTACCATCAGTCCTTCTCCTTGGTTTTAGCCATTGCTGGACAAGCTACCCCTGTGGCCCTACCCTGCCTCGGTGGTGCTGGACAATGCCCTTAACTTTGTTGAGAGGATGCTACTCAACTCCAGCACCACAAGGGTTGCGAGGTAGGATGGGGTGAAAGAAAATACTGTCATGTCAAGGCAACATCTTACAAGGATGAAGGAAAGTAAGTCCCTCCTTTTTCGGTACACAGGGCACACAGAACAATTGTGTGAGCTCTACTAAGGGAATGAAAATGCATGGATAAAGCTCCCAGCACTGAGGGGAGAAGCCTACTATCTATCAGAATTAGGCTAATATTAGCTACGAGACAATGAAAATTAAAAATGGAGACACACCTTTACTTCTATGTATTTCTTAAGAAACACGCCTTAGCTTTCGTTGAATTTATTTTCTTACTTAATCAACCTATGTATCATTTTCCCCATTAAGGAATCTCTGGTGGTCCAGTAGAATCTTAATCCTACAGTATCATGGCCCACAATTATCAGGAAGCAATAAAAACAATTATTGCTCTGCCCACCCACTTGCTCAAAGATCAAGATATGTCGATTTCCCCAGAATTTTGCTTTAGTTTCTCGGGTTCAAGAGCTGGGGAAAGGAAAGCTCCTTTAAGCTCTGGGGAAAGTCCACTCTTTCGGGGCAAGAGATTCAGTCCTGGTCAGGTCAGGTCAGAGGCCTAGAGATGGTAGTGGGTGAGTGTCAGGCAGCCTAATTTTCTTTGCCAACTCTGAAAATGAGATAAACAATGACAAACCGGGCATTTTAAATGAACTTGTCACATCTCATTTTCTTGAGAAAGGCTGCCTTTTTAGAGCCACTGGTTTTGTATAAGGCGATTAACTCTTTCCAAGATCCGTAGAGTGTTGGAGGTGGCCAAAGACCATCTGGTTTTGTTCAGCAATTACGTCTAACTGACACCTTCCCAATTCCCTTCCTTCTTGGGTTTATCCTTAGTTCAGATGTTAGACTCCCCCAAGGAATGTGTAATTTCTTGCTCCGCTTCTGAAGGAAGTTTCCTGAACTTTCTTACCCAAGTCTTTAAACAATCTACAACACCTTCTGCTTTCCAGAAGAAGCAGAAAGATATGCAGCACTTTGGCGTCATGTTGGTTAGTTGGTAAAAACATTTCTATTCCAAAGCTTTCTTTGGTTACAGACGGTGGAGGGAGGGTGACTTTATCTAAGAGTGTTGAAGCTGCTCATTTTATTCTCAACATCAGAATATTTTAAATGTGTAGCTTTTTGGTATTTTGGAAGAGATTTGATAATGATGTTTATTTTTGCATCGTCACTCTTTGAATGTTTTTTTTTTAGAGGATATGTGCCTGGACTGAGTACAGAATTAAACATTCTTGTACAGAGATACTGGCAGTGAGCAGAATAAGAATCAAACGATCGAGATGCAAAGTGAACCGAGGCCCACATGAACTTTTGCCAAGATTTTCATAAGGCCGTTTGGCTGGATATGCAGCTTTTCTTTAAATATATGCAAGCAAAGTGGTTTATGGCATAGCATAACACATTCAGACATACTTTATTATAAACTGTGTATGTTAAATGCGTTAAATACCTCAACAACAAATGGAACTTAAGAAATCTAAAATCCAGGCTCCCC